ATCAACTGAAATCAGATCCAGAAGTGCTAGAATCAGTTCACCAGCATATAAATACAGTTCCGAGAATTGAAAGCCATTATTTACGTGCTAATACCAGCCGCGAGTTTATTGATGGTGGACTAACCTTGGCAGCCTTACATCGCAACTATGAATGCCAGCGCAGAAGTGCTGGTAAAGAAGCTGCTACATTGTACATGTACAGCCAGATTTTTAACACTCAATTTAATATTTCATTCTTCATACCCAAAAAGGATCAATGTAATTTTTGCGAATCATATAAAAATGCAGAAGGTGTTAAAAAAACGGAATTGGAACAACAGTATATAAGACACCAAAGAGTGAAAATGTTAAGTCGTACAGAAAAAGCGGCAGACATTGCACTTTCCCGTGAACAAGAGAGTAAAGTTATAGTAGCGATATATGACTTACAAGCACAGTTGCTTGTGCCCATCGGCAACTCGTCAGCGTTTTGTTATAAGTCCAAGTTGAACTGCTACAACTTCACGGTAACCCTACTAAATAATAAGTGAGTATGTAACTCTTTAATGTAGGTACTAATTTATGCATTTTATTTCAGATAACAAATATTAAGAACGATTCAACTACTTGTTACTTTTGGCACGAGGGCTTGGGTTCTAAAGGTTCTAGAGAAATAGGAACTTGCGTGTACAAGTTTCTAGAGCGCGTTGCTAAAGAACATCCAGATTCTGATGTCATTTTCTACAGCGATAATTGTTGTGGTCAACAAAAGAACCGGTACGTTTAAATAATTGGTGATGTCGAATATTTTATAAAGTATTCTTCGTGTTTCATTTAATTTCTGATTAATGGTTTATATTTTTAGATTTGTGTTCAGCATGTACTGCTATGCTGTCGAAAAATTAGCGATAAATTCTGTGTGCCATAAGTTTTTAATCAGCGGCCACAGTCAAAATGAAGGCGATAATGCGCATTCTCTCATTGAGAAATCTATAAAAAGAGCCAAAAAAATCTGGACCCATCTACGTGCCAGATCAATACGTAAATTTCATACGAGATGCAAAAAAAAGGGAAACGCCTTCACTGTCCACGAGATGCATTTTAGCAACTTTTATGATGTGAAAGCACTGGCTGATGAGCTATCAATTAATTTCCATAAAGACGATAATGCAGACATAATAAAAGTGACTGAGCTCACAATGATTAAATTCACAAAAAATAGTGATTCTTATGAATTTAAAACATCTTTTGAAGGAGACTGGATCCAAGCTAGTCTTAAATTGACACGAGGGCGAAAAAGAGTTACTCAATCAATAGAAATTAATTTAAAAGCAGCATATCAATCAAAAATGAATATTTCTGATGCAAAGAAAAGGGATTTGATACAATTACTTCGGTCTGACATAGTGCAAATTGACAATTACAAAATAAAACGTTTATTTTCCATCGACCATTTCTTTTATTTCTTGCCTTTCACACAGGATTTTGGAAGCTTCCGGGTGAACGTATGACATGTTTGGAATTTGATCAAAGTGACAACGGCACAAATGCATGACTCTTCCACTTCGTTGATCTTTATAAAGTATATCCTGAAAACCTGAAGTGGAAATTTTCTTCCCTAATTATGTATTAACGTCTATACTAGTAACCAAACCCATAAAATCTGCAAAAAAACGAAAAATGAACCCATAAATTAGTTTTTAACATTTATAAAATCTTTAATGCTCGTTTCCGTAAAATGTGAAAAACGTAGATGTGCCAATATATTACTAGGTGAGCGATATACTAAAAAAAGGGCTCGAAATAGATTTTCTCACAAAAGAAGGGAACTTGAAAAAAAAAAAGGAAAAAATCGGACCGAAGACGGGACGCGAACCAAGGAATTACGATTTCGCGACCGCTCTATATCCACTTGAGCTATTACGATCGTTAACACAGTGTCAAAATTTACCTTCTTATATTGTAGCAGTTTTTCATTGCCTGAAAACACTGATAAAAAGACATTTTCTAAAACGGTCTTTAGCAAAACATACTACGACACCCAAGGGACGAAACAATGTGATGAAACCTTTCGTTTGACTACATTTAATAATGTTTAATTTGAAGTAAAATGAATTCAATAACAGCATCATTAGGCTAGGCTATTGTTACTCAGAACTGCTCCTAGTAGAGGAACACGCGTGTCCAAACCAAATAGTATGTTTTAGAACAAATATGAACGTTGTTAATTTTAATATGCGCATAATTACTCGGTACTGGATGGCAAATTGCAAATGCTCACAACATACGTAAATACCCATGCCACACTAGACGATTTCCCAGTTATTTGCGTATTTGATCCAATTTGAAGCTGTCTGGTGCCGGTCAAACAAAACCCATATAAAAAATTGTTACAATTTGTACATATTATATTACTTATATTAAAGTTGAAATGAAGTGTACTTACCAAATTACAGACCATATTTTGCTTTATTGATCTGGTTTTAAGGAGAAAGTTGGATAAACCTTCACTTCTAAAGACTGCTAGTGTCAATACATTATATAGTAGTTTATTCTTTCATTTAAATTGTTTTCTCGGTATTTGCAATGTCTTTGTGTAATAGTATTAAATATGATGAATCTTAAAATGTTGAATACTGCAAATTATGTTTAAAATTATGTTCAGTTCAGACTCAAAAACACTATTATATTAAATATAACAAGATATTTTTAAACAATGTTATTTTATTATATATGCACAATTATGTAAAACATGCAATTTTCTTATAAATTTCATCAAGTCACAAGTTTCGTTGTTACTATTATTTCTTAATTGTAATAAAAACAAACCAATGTTTTCTGATCTGTAGATCCCTAAATTTTAGGCCGATTCAGCCATTCATGTTGTATCATTAAAATAAAAACTCTAAATCACATTCATTATGTTACTTCCTTTCTGCAGTATAAATCAACACAATAAATAAATTATATGTATACACATGCCTGATATAACATTAATTTTTGTTAAAATTTGTTTATAAGATGTAACAGTAACTAAATTTATGATTAAAATATATTTTTATAATACGTAATCGCTGGTGCGTCTATTAATGTTAAGTTGTACACTTCTTAATGACTTGACTGATTAAGGTCATATTCACGCCTCATTTGTTTTATCGATATGAGACAATAGATTATAGCTATGCTCGAATTCTAGAATATTTATGGATCAAAATAATTTATATTCACAATAAGTTTGAATAGTGCCAAAAAACAAAATCACCAATAAGCGATGCTTTGGTCGAATTAGTATAAATTCATATTGACACTGTGAAAGTACTGAGTGAATTAAGAGCAAAAGTAACCCTGCCACCAACTGGAAAAGGCAAACAACTTCTGCGAGGTAAGCTACAAAATATATAATATATTTAAACTTTATTTCTAGCGTAGTAGTATTAAAGCAAAAGAAAATAAAATTTGTTATAACAATAAATAAGCAAAACATCATAAAATATCATGGAATGAATACAAAAATAAATGTTTTCAACAGTTAGATGTATATACATGATTAATATTTATGTACACTATTGCAGACAAGCGAAAAATATTTATAAAAAGCACTGAGAACATTTACAAACGTACTTATTAGTTTTCTTAACTTTTGTAAACAAACAAGAAAAGAAAAAGATATCGTAAGTGCAGAACAACATAAAACTTTATGGGTTCTAAAACCTACACAACATAGGCGAGGGGAAACTCACACTTTCCCTGAAACTTGTCTTCATTGTGCTATCAGACTAGTCAGACTAAGTAAGGCTTGGATATATAGGCTACTTTGCTGTAAGCCGATTTTGACAAAGTTCTTACTCTGGGTAAATTAACAGCGCATTAATTTTAATAGTTTAGTTTAAAAGAGACTATTTCATAAGGGTTGGTAAACAAGTTCTGAAAACACACAATAAATAGTCACGCTAGAGGAACATCAAAGAAGTTACAAATCATAGAGAATATCTCAATTTATTCATTTAATATACAGTGTGTAGATTGAGATTATGTAGAACATTTGTGGATACTAGGTTGATACTATTGCCGAATACTAGGTCATGACAAGTCCTACATTGTAATAATCAAATATTAAATTTTTAGTTAATTTATAAATAATGATATATAACTTTTTCAAAGATTTGAATGTGACTTTTTCTTATTAGAAGAACCAAATAAGTTACTTGTCTATAGAATTAGACACCATGAGACACAATGTGGAGTATGTCTGAGGATTTTTATGATATAGAAATTGCCACATGATAAAAGATTGGATTACAAAATTACATCCTATGGCTATAAAATAACATTTAAATAAGGAAAATGTCAAGAAAATATTTTCAATTTCATATATGGGCATTAACTATCTCAAAAACTGACAAACACAAGGACAGTGACAAACAGGTATTTACCGATTGCCTACTACTGTACTCTAAACTTGACCACCTTGTAGTGGAGTGATACAAGCTAAATATAACAAAAAAGAAAACAGGACAGGACCTAATTCAGTGAAATTCATGTTTCTCATTATTATTTCAAACTTCATCCCTGTGCCACGGTAGGACGTTGAAGATGCTGAATCCACCTGCATAAGCTTTGCTGTTGAGTAGAAGCTGTTATCTCTACGCCAGAAAAACGATCTCTTAACCAATATTCAATCAAAAAGACAAATAAACTAGTAGTTTTTAATGGCGCACAAGATATGATAGTGCTACATATATACGCGTAAAACAAAAGAGCACTCATCCATCCTGATCTGTTCGTATTCGATGCAACGTGTAGCGATAAGATTAGTTAAGAGTATAGGGTACCAAGGAACAATCGTAACAAAAACACACCCTGCAAAGAAATACTTGGTGGCTTCTTGTAGACTTTGTCTTGTCTCTGGTTGGGTTTCGTGAGCCTCGAACTCGTGACAACGTGCAAGGTGGAAGCTGCGGCAGTTCCATGGGAGTGGGGTGGGGTGCGGTGCGGTGCGGGGTGGTGCGGTGTGGCGGCGGCTAGAAGATGTCGGGGCAGGCGGCCCAGTCGGCGCGCTGCTTGCACTCCCAGTAGCGGTGGTTGTAGAGGTGGCGCAGCAGCGGCTGGCCGGGCGCCGCCTGCCGCGTGAACCACAGCGGCCGCGGCGGCTCCGGCCCCGCGCCGCCCTCAGCTGCTGCCGCCTGCAACCACATTACGCTCCAGTTATAACTCTCACAACTTCATGTAAATTTCAGAGGTCATAGAATCTAATCTATAGTATAGGTATCAGATTATAATTGTCATCTTTATAAAATACAAAACGCGCGCGCGCGCGCGTTTATTATATATATATATTGTGTGTGTGCGTTCGTGCGTGCGTGTGTGTGCGTGTGCGTGCGCGTGCGCACGTGTGAGTGTGTGTGTGTGTGTGTATGTGTGTGTCACCTCCGCAGCGGCTTCGAGCTCGCGGCGCGCGGCGCGCTGCTTCTCTTCGAGGCGCAGCTTTTCGGCGTTAGCTTCGTCCCACAGCCCCTCCTCCATGAGGCGCTGGTCGGGTCGCCGCCGCGAGTCCGTCGGCGCCACGCCCTCCTCCGGTTCATTCAGCTGCGCCGCCAGCAACGTGAAGTTATACCATCTGTAGACCACGCATTACTCTTACTACTGTCAACTTTTACTTTCTGCAGTGCACTTTTTCTTTACTATAAAGGACTTTTTTTCTGCTTATGTGACCATTCTCTTAATTATTCATTTATTTAAACTTTATTTACACAAAAGTAGAAAAAAGACGAACTTAATGCTACAAGGCATCCTCATGTGAAAATAAGTACGAAAAATAAAAATAATATCTGTGCTTCAACGGTAAAGACCTGATTCTGCCACCAAACAGCAGTGTTTGTAATTCTGTGAGCAGGTCTGAATGATAAAGATCGTGTATTATTTGCTGTAAGGTGTTCCATCTTATTCCTCATAGATGCCACATCTACAGTTAGTGTTTGAAGTTGGCTGCAAGCATCTATAGACGGAAGTAGCCAATTACCATCAAGTAGACTGTAAATTCATTTTCCACTTGACTTCTTTTACTGGGTTTGCATAAAAGGAAAAGTGTACTTGAAACCAATACAAAATCTGGCCGGAGGCGATGCAGAGCCTGTATTCGTGCCGAAAAACAATTTGAACATTTAATTGAGTTTTGAGAAAACGTAAATGTATTACAATATTTCCTAGTGTTTCATTATTTTATATTATGTTACATGTTACATATTGTTAACTTTTGCCATAGACGACAATGGGTCATCATATGTTGTTGCTCGAGTTTTTTAGTTTATTGTATTTTAAATTGTTGAAAATCGTGATATTTTAAGGAAAGATAAGTAGCAAATGTTGGACCATATAGAAATCTTAACTAAATGGGCCATTTTTTAAAACAAGAAACGAAACATTTAGAAATTTGTAATCATAGTACTTAAACGTAATCATAGTACTTAAATATGTGATCTAGGGTGTGATTTTTAACCTTTTTCATAAAGTATATTTATCATCACTTAACCAAGTAACATGGAATTTTTTTTTGCTAGAACTGGTACAACCTAGCTTGTCGCCCCGTAACCCCCCCCCCCCCCCCGTTTGACGTTGAGTATCGGGACCTCATGTATAATATAACATTACAAATTTAAAAAACCATTAAACTCGAAATCGCCACGCCGCACAGTGTGTTATTTTGCCTTAATTGCGGACATGCTAGTTTTATGGGTTTTTTGGAAAGCTAATAAAACAAACCTCTTATAAAAACTCCCACGACTCTAACTACATATAAGAGATATTAATAAAATCGAGAAAAATCCTTAAAAACCATAGAAACACAATATCTCGTTTTTGGATTTGTTTTTTTACACTATATGTTAAGTATAATATTAAGTATAATGTTAAGGTGTTGTAGGAATTCACTATAGGAACCAATTTTTTCTTGAAAACTAAAAATCTTGCTCACGCAGGCGAGAATTTTTTTATTGTATTTTTTATCTATATTCACGGTCGCGTCTTTTAAATGCCTAAATATTGATTACCATAATAACTATCGCCACAAAAAAAAAACAAGATTTCGGAAATATGGAATTTTGAAATTGTGGGTTAGGTTTGATAATCAAGCCTGTGTGCATGATACGATACTTCATGCAAACATTACTGTTTATGCCTCAAGTATTAGGCAATCGCCGGTTTGAACTGTGACGTACATTGTTAACATGTTTGTAAGGAAAAATAGTGCAGAAAGTACAATCAAAATTAAAAAAAAATTACTGTTGAATTCGATCACTACTTTTGTTTATAATCTAATCTATTTTCAATAAATGATATTATGTGGGACTGGGAAGGGTAACTCTCGTCAGGCAAATGCTAAAACCCAATTCATATATACATAATATCTGGAGAAGCAGGGGTGAGGTGTTGGAGCCGTCAAAGACCGTTTTGCCTAGGCAAAACGGTCTTTGCTCCTATAGATCACCATACTCTAACTATGGGGGTCTTGTAGAATTTTGATAGGCTGTAATGATGACGGATGGTAACTGCCTTAGCTGGCATAAAGAATTTATGAGGCAAACGACGGTTATTTTCATAAGTAAAGTAAAGTAAAGTCAGCCTATATACGTCCTACTGCTGGGCACAGGCCTCCTCTCATTTCTGAGGGTTTTAGGGCAAGGAATAGTCCGCCGCGCTGCCGCAATACGTGTTGGTGAACTTCACATGTCTTCGAAATATTTTTTTTCTTATTTCTCAGACATGCAGGTTTCCTCACGATGTTTTCCGCCGCCGGTGAACGGCGAGCACATCGTAAATAAGCACTTAAAATTGCAATTAACAATTTCATTGGTGCCGGCGGGGATCGAACCCGGTTTGCTTACGTATTGTGAAATTTACAGCGAGCGCTAACCATCTGAGCTACCACGGCTCGTTATTTTTTTTCTATTTTATAGTATTATATTTATATTATTTAATATTATTAATATTGTTTTTATATTTATATAAATATAATATTATTTAATATAAATATAATATTATTTTTATATTTTATAGTTATTTTCATGTTGGTTCAGAATGAAGGAAGTCCAGGCCCAAATACAGTGAATAACGTTTGTGTGCGTGCGGTGTGCGTGCAGTGTGCGTGCGCGCCGTGCTTGTACTGACTTGTCGGAGTCCGGGGGCGCGGGCACGCGCTGCCAGGCGACGGTGAACTTGCCGGTCTTGCACAGCGTGCTGTCGGCCGACGTGCTGCTCACCGGCGCCACCTCCACGCGGCTGTCCCAGTGCCCCTGCAGCACGTACCGCGGCTGCCACCCATAACACATTATATTATATCAACACGATAACAAGCCCGACGGATCAGTAAGCGGAAGTGGTCCGGCCACATAGCCCGAAAAACTGACAGCTAATCAGGAAGAAAACTATTAGGTTAATCGTAAAAGGCGGAGAGATGATCTTGATGCTTTCGAATAAGGATTGGCAAACCTTCAGCCAAGACAGTAAAAGGAGAGGGGCTTGTTACATGCTTGTCGAAATGAAAAATAAGTTATTAAGACGACACCACGAAAAAATACACTCACTTTCATCGAATAGTATAGGACTATGACACGACAAACAAAAGTGGAATTTTGATATAAGCAAATTCATACCTTTATCTTGAATTTGCTTGTCCAAAAACGAAACGATTTTGTAATGTTGACTCGAGCATAATTATTTACTTTCATAAACACCTCTAAAAATCACTATAGTTGAAATTACAACGAAATTACTTAATATAAACTACTCAAAACAAAATAGGGGCCACCATGTTTTATAAATGAATAAATTAAGGTTTTTGAAAGTGTGTTGACATTAACAAGAGTAAGTTTTGCCAATTTTATGGAATTTAGTCAAAATTTACAGTTTTTAGTAAAGTTTACAGAAATTATTGATTTAAGTAAAGTTTGATTTTGACTTTTATTATTGACTAAATCAATGAATTTGATGGTGCTTAATAGCGAGTAAGTCCTCCTCTGTTCCGTATGCACTCTCTGAATCTACCTGGGACACTTTCAATCAAGTGGGTGATGTTTTCCTCAGGTATTCACTTCCAAAACAATTTTAGGGCGTTTATGAGCTCTTGTCGATTAGTCACATTACTGAAGTTCGATTTGAGGCTTCTTTTCAATTGGTCCTATTAATGTTCAATGGGGTTAAGATCGGGACTCATGGCCGGCCACAGTAAAACCGTAATATTAGCTTCAGAGAGAGCTCTCTGGGTTGTTCGTGCTGTATGTGGGCGATCATAGTATTGCATAAAGACGAAGTTTTCACCCACTCTTTGTGAAAATGGGATGACATGGGGCCGAATTATTCGATCGACATACCGGGAGGCAGTTATGGAGCCTTCTTCCAGAATTACCAGCTCAGTTTTACCGAGCAAGCTTATTCCAGCCCACACGATAACATTTGGACCTCCAAAACAATCCGTTTCATGTATGCAAGGTTTTGAAAAACATTTTCCTTCTCTTCTCCACATGCGCACTCGACGATCATCGCTGAAAACTTCACTTTACTTTCGTCCGTAAAGAGTACATTTCTGCAGTTGTCCCATTGTCCACTCCGCATGCTCGCGAGCAAACCTCAAACGTGCCGCACAATGCGCTCTTGTCAAATTTAGACGAATAACACGAGATCTGGAATGTTGTCTGTCTTCATGTAGCCGATTTCGAATGGTTTGATCACTAATTCGCCAATCGATTGCCGCAGTCGATTTTGTAAGACGCGGGCGGGACTCGTACGCTCTCGACGTGCAGTCAATCTGATATACCGGTCTTCCTGGACGGTTGTAGCTCGCGCTCTTCCTGATCCACATCTCTTCGCGACACTACCTGTCTCTAAAAAGCGTTCCCACGCGTTTCGAATAGCTTGTCGTGACACACCTAGACGTCTTGCCACTGATCTCTGAGATTCTCCCTCCTGAAGCATAAACACTGCTCTTGTTGATGTTTCCACATCCATGTGATGACGAGAACCAGGCATAATGATCGCGAGTAACACCGAAATCAAGTCAAAATGAAAAAAATAGACGTGCGGCTGTAACATTCAGAATGTGACTGAGGGTACAAGTGACTGAGAATTTGAGTAATAAACGTTTTTTGTCTACGCACCATTGAATTCCTGACTTGAAACATTGATAACGTTAGATAAACATGTCAACAATACTTCGAAATGTTTAACTTCACTATTCTACTACCTACTAGATTAACTTAGAGTAGGCCCTATTTTGTTTTGAGTAGTTGGTAGCCAATATGTCCCTCTATTTTCATATGATGCATTATCAATAATACAACCAAAACCAAACTTTAGTAATGCTACATCATCTATATCAACGTTGACATAGTAATATAACAATTTCACTTTTTTACTCTAAGCAATTTTACAAAATTTATAAAGAGCCTAATTTTACAGATTATTAACTTACCACTCCTTGTGGATCTTTGATGACGCCAGTAACCTTTCTCTGTGTGTCCTTACTAAAATAACCGTATGGTAAATATTTGAGGTGTGCTACGTAGCCTGCAGCTGGGCCAGATTCACCTATTATGTCCATGTCTCCATGATTGTCTACCCACAACTTTCCCACAATTATATTGTGAACTGTTGTGGTCACCTGTAATTTGAAAATAAACAATTATATAAAGATGGTAGGACTCCTAGCAAATACTAGGAGTTCATCTAAATATATATATATATATATATTTTTTTTTTATACACTTTCTCTACAAGGGAGTCTCATATTGAAACTTGACTTGACTTTCCATTGAGTGTACAATTTGATGACTTTTTAAACAAATATATGTTTCCATAAATCACTAAGCACCAAGGCCTAGTTTTCTAAATATCAGACCATTGTTAAAACTTTATGAACTTAATCTCAAAGCCAAATACTAATAATAATAACAATAACAAAGCAGCAAGGCAAGTTAATAGAACAATGCAATAAATTACTGATTTTCTAATAAATAAGGGTTCTTATTTATATAGAAAAGCATCTGTAGTATTAAACCACTAAAAGAATATTTTTCTTACGCTTATTGCTTTGAAAGGACTTGTTTGTCATGCTCTTTTTTTCTTAAAAAATTATAATAATCTTTTTACATTGTTTTAATTGTTGTTACCTTTCTCCAAGTGTATTTATTGCCAGACTTGGGAAACATTGCAGAGGCACCTCCAAGCGGAATGACCTGCAGATATTTTCCGCGAAATTTGGTAGTCATGGTAAACTCCTGCCAGCACTGCCAGCCAGCCTGGCCTTCACAGAACTGTGCTACCATTGGTGGATGATGTGACACCTAAACAGACAAATATAAGAAACTTATAACACACTACTACAATATTTAATCCATAAATAAATTAATATTAGTGCATCCGTATATTTGTTAATAACAGAGTAGAGTTAGCAAGAAAAAGCAAAAACACATAATTAGAGTATTATATGACTAAAGTAAAGTAAAGTTATTACCTGTGCAGTTAAAGAATGGGATTGAAAATGGCGTCGCTTTTATTCACCGCTCGTTCGCACACTATCGCTATCTATACTTACACCGGCCGGTAAAGATAAAAAAAATACATTGCGAGATAGGTTTTTCGTAAGTCCTTTAACTTTAGTCCGACTTATCATTGGAATCAATGATAACAAAATGCCATAAACAACAAAAATCCGTCCGGTTTCGCAATTTTGTGAGCTAGACGTGTTTTGAGAGTTTTTTTCATAATTAATGTTAAAATTTTTGTATAAAATATTTCATGCTGTGGGTAACCAACCACTTTTAAAATATTTGTTTGTCTGTCCGAGCTAATCCCCGGAATGGTTAACCCAACTGTCATAAAACTTCACGAACAAAGAAAGAGTAATTCCAGGAGTGATCGCTAAACTTTATCTGAATAATTTAGTGATTTTATTAATATAGAAATATCAATAACAAGAAATAAATGGCGTTTGATGGTTATCTTAAGTCTAAATAAAACCACATTAATAGATCCCACCCAGGCGAAGTCAGAGCGATCGCTAGTTATAAATTTTATTTTAAAACTAATGTACCTTACTTGCGTATACAATTATTTTCAAATATTTTCCCATTAATAGAAAATTTCAAATTAACCGAATACTATAACGTTATACCGTTATTAGAGGTTGTTCGCTATTAGTACTGTGCATATTGACGGTAATGCTCGATGAGTCGCCATTTATAATCCCATTCTTTATCCATACGGTCTGTACAGCCTATATACAATCCACCGCTGGGTACAACCCCTTTCTCACTTCTGAGAGGGTTATAGGGCACGAAAGTACCCGCGCACTGCCTTAATGCGTATTAGCATATTTAACATGTCTTCGAAATATTTTTTAATTTTATTTCTCAGACATTCAGACTTTTCTCACGATGTTTTCACTTAAAATTTAATTAACAATTCCATTGGTACTGTGAAATTTATAGCGAGCGCTAAAACCCTGAGGTATCATGACTCCACTTATATGACTTAAGACTAGTCCAGCCATAATTAAATAATGTTACAATTATTTAAAGTTATTTTTTCTAAATTACAATTTGAATTGTGACCTAGAATGTTGATATTTGGCAAAAACGAAAGTATCATAGCACAAGTAAAGCAAAAAAAATCAAGAATCGTAAATTTATAGTAATATCACATACAAAAGTATTTAATAAATTTCACGAATGGCTTAGGTGAAATCTATTTACTCACTTTCAAAGTATGATTTAGTTCCATTATCAAAGCATTAGATATTGATAATCATATTGTGTGCAAAATTACTTTACTAGTAGAAAATACGTTGAAAATTACTTAAATTAATGAATATATCTCATTAATGCCTTTAGAACAAACATTTATGAAACAGAAAGCAAGTAAACGTAAATACTAGCAATGAATGAATATGCAAAACAATGCCAATGCCAAGGAAAAAATTAATTCGGAGACATGAAATTCGTTTACACGCATTGGGCCACCACGGATACTTGGATAGATATTTCCTTGCCCTAAAACCTTTCAAAAATGAGAGGTCTGTGCCCAGCAGTAGGACGTATATAGACTGTAACTTTAACTTTTTTACTTTAATGGCAATGCAGACACAGGTCAGCTTCTCATCTTAATTTGTACTAAAGGCAGACCATGACAGAAAAAATAACGACAACGATTAAGACTCGTAGAATGATCGATCCTAGTTGCCTGTGCTGCACTTTATACTGCTCGAAAGAAGTGAGAGGCGCCTAGCACAACATGGCGTTTTAAAATATTGAAATGGGCATTAAATATTTTTGCTCACCTGCTCAGATATTGCTCGCCAACCCAAATCCGCCATGCGATCACATTCGTATGTTTCACCAAGCAATGGATTGAAAGGTTTATTTGTTCTGGAAAAAAATTATGTGATCAAAAAATGAGTACAAAGATTGGTGATTTCATTAAAATATATTACAATGCCTTTGTTTTATTTAGTTTTTCTTCACATATTTAATATGTGCAATATTTATTTATTAATTCTTTATTGCATTCCTTAAAATAAAAGAATATTAATGCAGACTTAATGCCTTGATGTATTCTCTACCAGTCAACCCAAGTAGTGGTGAGAAATTGATATAGGTGTAGCAATATAGAATAAAAAAAATGATAATTAACTACATAATATTTATATTTTACTAATTTATAAAAATAAATGATACATATGAAAAATATTTATTCATAGCACCACTGGAATCTACAACTTTCTCAACTACAATTGAAATAAACCAATAGGAACCCTATGGTACCCAAGGGAGGCCTATGCCAAAAGGCACACGGAACTAAGAGACTTACTCTAACTAGTACTGCAGTATGAACTCAAACAGAAGGATGTACAATCACAAAGTTCAAAGATAAATGGCCATATTATTATTCTAAACAAAGGCTAAGTATGTTCTTAAAAGCACCTGTTTGATGTCGTCGCATAAGATGAGACAGTGAATGCGGCAACATATGCGAGCTGCTGTGCTGGATCTGTGAATGTAGCCGCCTGATCCAGTATTGATGAGTACTCATAGTCCTCCGTGAGTCTTTGCAACATTGACAATGGCTCACTGAAGTTGACAGGTATTGGGATCTTGGATAGTTCTTTTCCTGTAAGGTTAAAAAAACCATTCATCATTAATCTATTACACCGCATATAAAAAGTCTGCACTGCTGAATATAGGCTTCTTCCATAGAATACCTCATAGGGAGTATTTGCTACAGTTGCCACGCTTGGCAGGGCGGTTGGCAACCGCAGTTTTTTATTATTTCAGAGTTGTTGTCAGGAAAAAGCTGATACCCATCCTATTTCAATTACCGTCTGTCGTCTCTTACAAAGTTCACGGTATAGTATTGGATTGATTTGCCATGCAGTGGCATTGTAGGAGTCATCCTATTATTTTTCATAAGTTTAAAAACATCATATATTATGGATGATAAAATTTTATATGGTCCATTGGGTACAATTTCATAGTGATAGGGTGTTGTGTACTACGCACTAGAATGGCATTCCGAACACTCACTATGTTCAACTGAACTGTACTGCAATCCATACACCTGTTATTGTGGCTTCGTCGATATTCATGCAGTGCGGAGCGGCGCTAATAATAACTTTATATTAAATTGGCACATACGCAAATAAACGAAAATTAAAAAAAAATGTACTCCATTAACAATACCCCATCTAAATAAACAATTATTATAACAATTTTCGCGCGTTTATATGAACTGCGCATGCGCGACTCTACTGTTTCCCGAGCATGTGCGGATACAGAGTAGTATACATTTTTTGTTTGAAATAGCTTCTCTAGTACGTAGTACATATAACTCAATGGTGTTAGGTAATCATAATTTTTATAGCATTATTGAAATAGCAAAATTAGAGAATTTATTGGTGGTAGAAGGAAATTTAAATGCTGAATCACAGAATCACTGGGCAGTGATGATTGGTTTAGTGATAACCTAATGATGGCTTAGATAATTTAGTCAAAAGAAATTAACAACTGAATTGTCTTTGGATATTGTGGTTAACAAATTACTTACCTATGCAATTTTTCATTATGGACCACAGACTGAGAGGATAGTTGGGCTTGTCTGGTACTCGAGTTCGCCGCGGGTGGCCGTCCACCGTGCTTACAGGCACTTGTGAGACGTGAGGCTGGAATAGAAATTCGATAAAATTAGCCCAATCAAAAATAATAAAAAAAAACTTCATATTAATTAGAAAGTTTGTTTACATTATAGAAGTTAATATCTAAGGTTATAATGTAAGTATTAACTTTCTACAAAAAAATTATTATGCTGATGCATAAGTTTATTGGAAGATATCGATTACCATATAGATACATAATTATGATGTTATAGCACCAAGATTGTCACTGATAAGTTTTTTCTTTTGATATATTTTTATATATCTCAGAAAATAGGTAGAGTTTTCTAGATACATGTATGTACATTTGTAAGTAGCAATTTATTGCTTGAAAATAATCCTAAATACAGCATGTAGAAATGTTAGGCTCTAAATCTAAAATTCAGCTTTATAAATGAGTTTTAGTTACACGAAAAAGTAAAGGAACATATTATGAGTTACTTAGACTACCCTAAATATTAATGCAAAAAAACATGATAGAAGAAATTTGATCTAAAAGAGCCATTTCTTCAGTCAATGATTTTCAAATATTATATAAACAGTAAATAAAACAGAAACAATAACTATATACACAAAGTGAAAAGTCACAATCCATATACATCCCACTCTTGGGCATATGCCTCCGCATATTCCTAAGAGGGTTTTAGGACAAGGATGTTTCCGACGCGCTACCTCAGTGTGCGTAAGCTTATACTTTAAACTTGATCTCAGACATGCAAGATATCTCACGATGTTTTCTTTCACCGCTGAACATGTGGTAAATCAGCACTTCAGATTGCAACTAACAATTTCATAGTTGCCAGCGGGAATCGAACCAGGTAGCTCGCATACTTAAACATTTACATAATATAATGAGCGTGGCTCAATACCGATACACAAAAATATATTTAAACCTATATGATAGAAGGTGCTTTTGACAGAAAAAATTTCTCCAGCATAAAAGGTGCCCTAAGTAGACATAATGTTGAACCGGCACTGATTGACTGGATAGTAAACATGCTCAGTACATGAACAATAAAATTGCTGATGAATCTCAGACAATTCAGATCATGAAAGGATGCCCGCAGGGTGGGGTTCCTTCACCTCTCCTGTGGAATATGGTCATTAATGAACTTATCAGCAAATTAAATGCTAACCATTTCTACACAGTCTGTTATGCAGATGATCTGACAATACTGGTCTCTGGAAAGACAGCAAGCATTGTGTGCGACCTGATCCAAGCGGCTCTCAGTATTGTGGAGAGATGGTGCAGGGAATATGACCTAACCGTTAATCCAAACAAAACGGTTATAGTAATGTTCACACAAAAACGAATGCTGAATAACTATCATCTTCCAAGTCTTTTCAGCACAAAACTCCAGCTTTGCTCCGAGGTAAAATACCTAGGTCTTACCTTGGACATTAAACTTAACTTTTAAACAGATAGAACACAAAATCAACAAAGCTAGTTTAACTTTCTGGCAATGCAGAAACATGATTGGCAAATGATGGGGTTTGACGCCAAAAATTATACTATGGCTGTACAAAACTGTAATTCGGCCCATGATCACATATGGCTCTCTGGTATGGTGGACCAAAACCATGAAGCCACCACTATACGAAAGCTTCAGCATTACCAGAGGTTGGCTTATATGGCTGCCACGGGCTGCATAAGGACTACACCAACAGCAGCTTTGGAGGCTATGCTGGAGCTAGCACCGCTTCTATTACATATACAACAAGAAGCAACTTTAGCTGCCATTAGACTCAAGATCCTAAATCTTTTAAGTAAGCGTAGAGTCCCCCATACAGATATAATTGATAGAATTTACTCAAAAATTCCTATCTTACAAGCCAAGTATAAAAGGATCCCAAAACAATTTGTATTCGATAAGAAGTACAGGATACAATTGAAGGAAACTGAACATCTGGAAGGATTGGGTCAAAGAGAGCTCAAAGTTTTCACGGATGGTTCTAAGACAAATGAAGGTGTAGGGTATGGGGCTTTCTCTGAAGACCTTAATATCCACATATGCACACCGCTGAGTACCCACAACACAGTTTTCCAGGCTGAATGCATGGGTATCATCCAAGCGGCTATAGCAATAGATGCTAGGAAGGTGAAAGACTTCTCCATCAGAATACTGACTGACAGTATGGCGGTACTACAAGCTCTGAGTTGCAATGTGACGAACTCGGGACTGATATACAAGTGCCATCAACGATCGAATGAGGTATGTAAGCACAACAATGTGACTCTGCAATAGATCAAGGGACACAGTGGATCTAGAGGCAACGATGCAGCAGATGAACTGGCCAGAAGAGGATCGGGTCTGGCAACTACATGGCTGAAACCAATAATACCAATCCCCTTTGGCTACGTTCACTCACTGGTACGTAGATACTTCAATAATTTACACGCTCAGCTTTGGAAAAATTTTGTAGACTGTAGACAAGCTAGGGAGGCCCTGCCTGAAATAAACAGTTGTCTAACCAAGATTCTAAGGAGACTGAACAAGCCACAGATCAGGATAGTAACAAGTGCTATCACAGGAGATGGCTCTTTTAACAAACATTTGTTCACCATAGGTGTTACTGATAGCCCCCTGTGCAGGGCATGCATGGGAGAGGAAGAAACGGCGTCTCACGTGTTGCTGACATGTCCAGAAGTCGCTTCATACAGGGCTAAACATCTCGGCACGCCGGGATCGCTCCCCGAAGTTGCTTGCAACATCAAAGGACTGTTGAACTTCTTCGGGGAAATATCATGGCTCGAATAACTACATTATTCTTGCCCACACGCAAAATACGCGCTTACACGTGGATTTGCGGAAAACAGCCCGTCGTAAACTAACTAACTAACCTATATGCAGAATATATTTAATACATTATTTTAAGCAGCTTCAGATTAGTTTCAAATACTTTTTTACTCAGCCTACCCATACTACGATGTTCTGCTCCTTATTGTCAGTCTGTTCATTGACATTTGTGTCATTGTCAGCATTAGTTTCTGTGCCACCCATGGTACTCTCTTGTTGCTCCTTGTCTTCTACAAATATTACCTAGACAAAAGAATACATTTTATAATATACAAAAACACTATAGCACAACAACTTCTGTGTAACATTTAACACTCCCGCCCTCTCCCCACACAGTAGTATCTCTACAGTTAGTCTCTCACTAAACAGTTTTTTTGCCAGCTACATTTAGGTTAGGGTTTAACATGCAAATGTGCTGTGACTTTCTTTTTGCTACGACTAAAATATACCCCTTTGTTCCGGCTGGAAGGGTATAGAGACTAGGAAATATGATCATATGTTGTGAGGCATTCCATCCTAATCTTCGGAGGTAGCGTTCTTATTAGAAGTTTTATGATAAGTGGCTACTACAGTCCATGGACGTGTCCAACCATGTCCATAGGCTGTAGTAGCCACTTTTTATCTGGTGGACCGTTAGTTTGTTCGTCAGTCCAATTTTATAAAAAAATGTGCTGTTGAATTCATTTTAGTAAATAATACAATTTATGGAAGTTGTAAGGTGTTGTAAGCAAGGTGAGGGGCTATCACGTACGGTACATATACACACACAGTCATAAGCATAAACTTTATATCAACAGTACCTGGACGACCGAGCTTTGCTCGGTATTTTTTTTTGGAAATTATATTTAGATACAAACTACATACTGATGAAATATGAATAATATTTTTTGATCTTACTGACATAATAAAAAATACTGTAACTGTTTATTTGAATAAAAAATCATGAGTGCAATTAGTTTAATTTAAATATTCGTGTTTTTTAAAAAAAATACTAAAAAAGGCTCGAAATAATAGATTTTCTCACAAAAGAAAGAATACTTGAAAATAAAAAAGGAAAAAGAGTCGGACCGAAGACAGGACTCGAACCTAGGTACCACGATTCCGGGACCGCCCGATTTCCCATTTGAGCTATTATAATCATTACCACATTGTCAAAATTTAGCTTCTTATATTATAGCAGTTTTTCATTGCCTAAAAACACAGACAAAATGACATTTTCTAAAAATTAATCCTAGCTAGGTCGATTTATTGCCCCCCAAAACCACCGGACACTAAATTTTATGAAAATCGTTGGAGCCGTTTCCGAGATTCCGATTATATATATACAAGAATTGCTCGTTTAAAAGTATTAGATAGATTTTAATTAGTATTAAAACTATTATCATTATATATACATAAAAACCTAATTTCTCTTCTATAATTTCTTTTGCCATCTTAGGGGTGTACAAGATAACTACGCAACTAGCTGACCCTCGCAACTTCGTCTGCGTCACGTAAGAGAGGTTGCAGAGAGTGGGTCTTAGGCGCTTATAATACAATTCTAAAAGAGCTGATACTTTTTTGTTTTATCCACGAACCACACGAGAACTATTGAACAAAATTTGATAAAACATAATACCTACGGTGCTAATTTAAAATCACGCGGACAAAACCATGAGAAAATCTAATGTCTCTAAGAGTCCTATCTAAGGCCCTATGAATCATCCCATATTATTAAACTGACACCTTGCAAAACTCGTTTACTTAATGTTTCGAAACAAACATTATAATCTTGCAATATACAAACTTTGACATACACAAAGTTCAAAAACTTTATTAAACTAAGTTTTTATAAAAAGGGTTATTATAACATTAAGGAATTTATGGATAATAATAACCCATGTTAAGGATAATGGCTACCAAGCTATTTTGTTTGTCTTTTTTCTAATTTGTTTTGTGTTGTTAATTGTAACATTCATGATTGTAACCTCATATTTTTAAAAAAATAATCCCGCTGGATTTCTTGCTGGTACTTCCCAGGACAAAGGTGTTTTTTGCGAACCAGTGGTATATGAAAAAAAGTGACTTTCAATAAGTATTATTTATAATCAAAATTGAATAAAAAAGTTTCTGTTTCAGTTCCAAAACTTTTCCCAATTTTATTTTACGGATAGAGCAGAGCACACGCTGATTTAAAACTGTGATATCTCTTAAGATATTCATTGAAATCAAATATTGTAAGGGCAATATTGTTCAAAATTAAATACTTGTGATTAGGATGAATACCATGTTCATAAAAACACCGTAGCAAATAATGCTTTATTTTAGAACAAATTTGATTACCATAAAAAAGGTTATAGTTAGTCCCTAAAAGATAGACATAATATGCTATTGCTACTGCAGTTATATTAATAGTATAGTTGTAGCACGAATGGGTCGGCTCGAACGGGTAAGGACCACACTCTCACAGAATACCAGCGTGAAATAGTAGCTTGATGCTGCTGTGTTTCGTATGGTGAGTGTAGAGAACCGGAGACCCTTTTTACTGGAAACGAGGCATTCCGTCTTAGTCCTTACGGGTGACAACGCATTTTCATTTTGATTTGTAATCGAGGATAGATGTAGATGTCTGTGGGCCGCAGCAACCACTTACCATCAGTTGGACTGTGTATATGAATGAATTGTTTTTAGTGTAGGGTACTGAAGCCAGAAATGATCCATTTGGATGATCGATCCGAATTGTAGCGGTACATGTGTCAAAATGTACTAGAATGATTCGGTCACGAGAAATGAATGATTGACACATGTCTAGTCCCTGAGATTAGCGCATTCAACCAAACAAATAAACTCTTCAGCTTTATAATATTAGTATAGATAAGATAATGAGTCCTAAATTCGCACACTTCTCGGCCGTTTCTCTATAAGGAGTATAGCAAATACTATTTACTTTATAGTTGACTAATTGTAAAGGGTAAGAGTAAAATTACATACTATATAGGCTATGTATTATGTCCTCAAAGGCGACAATGAAATTTTATTGGCAGAGGGAAGGGGTATGCAGGACAGAGAGGGATGTTATACATTTGTCATTTTTGTGATCTGCTTAGTGACTAACATACACAGCAGTAACACTTCATAGCGTTGTGGTATAATCGCAGTGTTATGAAATTAAAAAAAAATACTTTCATTAAATTATCTCTACTAAATTATGTTAGAAATATAATGCATGTAGATGTACCAATGGAGAAGATAACCATTTTGTGTTTTATATGCCAAAAAATTCTACAAAAAATTACGAGAATAACTGTTTTATTTTTAATTTTTTTTTCTATCTTCAAAACTGACCTAGATATAAAGGCGCAAAGTTAACATTTTCGGTCTAAGCCGCGGGCCGAGCGCTACAGACCGTGCCACGAAAGATGAGACTTGGCGAGCGTCAGTAGTGGGGAGCTTGCGCAGGTACTGTCGTGTACGAAATATTATCCATAATTTGTATATCTATTCAGTGATTTTTCGACGACATTTGAAATTAACACAACGTAACAAAATTCTGAAAAATATTTATTACGAAATAATAAATTTAAAGATAAAAATGGCTGATTATCCTAGTCACTGTCACTGTCAATAAATGATACACCAGCGGGAAGATTATCGTTTGTAACGCGGCTGCAACCAGGTACATTAACTCTAGAAAATACACTACTTGTTCCAGGAGTTAACAGATTATCGTTTTCGTCAGATGACGATGAGGAACTACCTGAGTCCCCTGAGTCGCTGTCTGACGAATCTTCTCCTAGTCTGATAATTATCTCCGTATCCGTCAAATTGTCTATTATGTGATCACTTTCTATGTAAAAGTCTTAAATTTTTTTTTGTTTTATCACATAGAGCTTTCCATTCATTTGGTCCCATTTGGCTTGCCTTTTCTGTTACTAACTCTATCACACGTTTGAGGTTCCATTGCACATTCTTACTACTCACATAACCTTTTATTGAAGCCCAAGCCATTTCGATTGGATTTAAATCTGGGTGGTATGGAGGTAATCGCAGTACGTCATGACCGTGTTCAGATAGTATTTTGTCAATGCTGAATGTCTTATATTGTTCTTTATGTATTTTTATCAATTTGTACAATTGTGGTTTAAGCATATCTGGAGTGTAGGGAATTCCTTTTTGGGTTAGCCAAGATTGCATATCAGCTTTCTTGGTATTTGAGCTTGGTGCAGATTCATACTCCTTATTGTGATACGGGGCATTATCAACTACCACGACGGCATTTGGTGGAAGATTGGGTATTAGCTGGGTTCGAAGCCATTTCTGATAATTTTCGTAATTCATGTCGTCGTGGTAATCACCCGTTTTTGACCCCGATTTAAAAGTCAGTAAAGCGTTTGGTATGAAACCACTTTCAGATCCAGCATGTACAATAACTACGCGCTGACCTTTAGATATTGGTTTTTTGAGCCCTTTATCTGAATTATCAGACCAAGATTTGGAGGTACTATGCGTGGAATGCACGTAAGACTCGTCAGTATATACAATAGGACGGCCTTCTTGGCGATATTTTCTGACTTTTTTTTAAATATTCAATTCTTTTCAGTCTGATATTGGATTTTTCTATAAGAATTTTTCGATTATTTTCGGTCCTCCTCCATCGAAAACCAAGGTCTTTCAAAATGCGGCGTAGACTTGTTTTAGAACCTCGAAAGGCAATATCATCACGCAACTTTGCTAAAATTTTATTAAGGGTCGGCAGTTCCTTGTTCGTAACATGGAAGTTGTGAACACATCTTTTTATCACTCCTTTGTCAAAGTCATCTATGTCGGTTAAAAGTTTGGGTCTTGACCTTTTTTTCCGGGAGTGCGGAAAATTGGTAGTAACTCGGAACTGTTTCCTTCCTTCACAATTCTTTTTACTGTAATTAATGATGTTCTAGTTGCGGCCGCTGTATGCATTTGTACCTGCTTCAAATTTTGTACACCTTCCTTTGCTTCTTTTGACATATAGGTGTACACGTCGTAAACCATCTTCCTACTTTGTCGTCTTAATGTTTTACCTCGAGGCATAATCAAGATTTCACAAAGTTTCACTCGTATAGAACAACACAACTATAAACAAAGTAAAAATTTATAAACACAAGTTGCACTTGTCTGTACTTGCGGAGTCAAGCGGTAAGTGCACGGGGCGCGGAGAGCGGGAAGCAACTAATATGAATGAGCGGCGCCGATGACGCCGGTCCCTACTCGCCTCAGACTTCATACCGCTAAAGAGACCGATAAATCGACTAATGCGCAACTCAAACCACGTGATGTGTCAAGTCTCATCTTTCGTGGCACGGTTTATACATCGTTGATGACGTCACGATTTCAATCTTCGTGCGAGCGACCCGACGCGTACTTAGAAAATCAAAACATTTACTCGAATGTACTTGCTATCTATTTTTAACAAGAAAAATTATAGAAAATGACATAACCATTTAACCATCTATTAAATATTGTGCTGTGCCTCAATGAAAAAATACGGCCACAAAAACACCTGAAAAGTTGTTTTTTAATGCGCCTTGGAACCCTACCATCAGAAAAAAATGAACAAATGCTATGAGAAGAACACATCCTTTAGGACCAAACACGGTAGCATATTTTGTGAGGATCATTTTGATGTAAGTATTCAAATAATAATCTTCACACGATAGCTCTTGGTTATTGCTAGTGTATGCTTTTAGGCTTTTTATGTAGCTACCTGTTACTACTCTAGATGATAATATTGACATTGATCCTTTGCCAGAAGAATATATAACTAACAACGCTGATACTCCCGCTACACAAAACAAAAAATTCAAGTAAACCTAAAAAACAAAGTTTCACATAAAAGTACATTAAACCAAAGATAAATATGTTCGGCCAGTACAAGAGAATAAGAAACTTCTTCAATTTGATGTAGTAAGTTCTTCAAGCTGTGAAGAAAAATCTTCACTTTCTAGAGAAACTTGCAAACTTGCCGCTCGTTCCGGCCGGCCGCATGGAATCGATGACGTCACGCGCTACTCACGGGCACGGGTGAAATTATAAAAATGTACGTAAACTTTCCACGCTTATAACTTCGGTAATAGTGCACCGATCGATGTGAAATAAGAACTAGAATTATGTGTTTGGTCTACACTTTTTACCTACGTACTTGAAAGTATAATATTGTTACCTTGTTATCTTCTCCATTAACGAATTCAAACAATAGCAACTGTAAATTGTATTTAGCACCAGTGTACTTGCACAAGCCTATACAGTAGCTTCTCTCTATGCACCTATAAGGTTAGTGGGTTTAATACATTGTTTGCCATAATTTTTTATAAAAAATGTAATAAATAAAAGGCAAAAGGAGCATCACAGACCTACCTGACTACCAATAATATTAACATGCTAGCAGCTTATTCAAAGTCAAAACTTTTATTCAATTTGTGCTTGTTTAACACCTGTTATGAAGTTATAAATCTAACATACATATTGACAAAATTCATTTACATATTTAATATGACGTTAGACATGCCATATTACATGGTTAGAAAGTAGTAGAAGTCATAATGATTCACTAACCTGTTGTGTTTCTGTTACTGTTTCACCTTCAGATTCATCAGAGCTTTCACCACTTTTTAGTTTATTTTTCCTATTTACCTGTAATGTAAATAATGAATTTCTAATATGTGTAAGGTTATGATTTTATAAGTATACCAAATGTCATACTGCTCATTAAACATTTGAACAATGTATAATTAATTACAATGAAGTCTAACATGAAGAAAGTACATTAGTAGAATCTATAAATAATCAAATACAAAAACAAACATACAGGCACTTTGATTACAAATGAAGTCTTATCATCCATTGCAGTGGAGACACATTCTTCCACTGCATCGAAGAACTCATGATCTTCATCCTCAGTTTCATTACCCTGGCCAGCCCCGTTTCCACCTATCAACAAGAAATCTATATTCATTTAAAAATTCTAAATATTTATAGGTGTTAAATATTTAGAAAAATGAATGAAAAAATATAATGTCTAACTTTTACTGATTAATTATAAGTACACAAATATTTAAGTAGAACAATATGCTAATGAGACAAATATTAGCATTACAATAGTAGTAATGCATTACCAGATGGTCAAGTCTTATATTGAGAATTCTATCTACTCTTGAATTCTTGTTAACATTTTCAACACCAATGCAAAAATGTATAACAAAATACATATTAGAAAAACGTCCCCATTAATAAATTTATTTATTTATTATTTTATGGTATTTAAATTTAAAAACTGTTCCTTTGATAAAAAAAGGCCACAAATGATGATGAAATAATAATTGTTCAGTCTGCTTTGATTCAATGTCCTCAATTTCAACTTCAGAATCTGATCTGTACCAGAGTGCTATAACTCATTTTGTATATTGCAGGAAAAATGTGTGTGCTTGCTTGTTTAGCATTCTTTGGCTGCACTATGTCACAGTGACCTAGATACCAGTATGCTTATGAAAACACAGGTTGCTTTATAGTGAAGTCCGCACATTGGAGGCACTGACAACTAGCAGATTTATAGAGATGGAATTTTTTTATTAACCCTGTTCAAAATATAAGAAATACAGTAATTACTTCTAAACAGTTAACTAATTATAATAATTAGTTGTTACAAAAATTACAAACAGTTAACTACATTTTTTCTAATCTCAAATTGTTTTTAATAGTATGAACAAAAATTTCCCTTAGCTAAAACTGAGTGGTGAACTATCGCATACACATCACTAGCAGACTTCATAGGAAGTTCATGGCTTATTATTATTATTACAGATGGGCCGAATATGGATTTCACAGAATACAAATATTCGGCCAAAAGTTCGGTAAAACTTTTACTAAACCGAATATTCCGCCGAACATTATTCGGCAGGATCACCTCAGTAGCCCGCCCCTCGCTCCCCCGCCCTACCATGTCATGTTATTGCATCATCTAGTACTGAGCAAATTGCCGCCACATTCTTGTTTTGACTATTTTTGTGAGAAAAAAAGTATTTCCTTGTGTTATTCTTAGTGAAAATTGATAATATGATAAAAATGAGTGGCAGATTAACTATTTAGACTTATTTTAAAGAAACTGACTACCAAAGTAAAGTGTACTACTAATGTAATGTAACATTTCTTTGTTTGATTCCAAAAACATTTAATCAAGCTCTCTATTTGCTATAATTGGAAATAAATCTATAGTGCCTCAAAAACATAACGCCATACAAGTAAATAAACTTTCAACAGTAAAATATTGAAGGACATGGCATTGCTCAATTCGTACATTTCAATACAGTGGACACTGAGTACCATTTTAACGAATTTTCGTGATTTAGCAGAATATTCGGCTAAATACGGTGAGCCACATGCTCGTTTGCCCCTTCTATAAAAAAAAAAAAAGAAAAAATTCAGTAAAGCTACTGAATATGCTGAATACCGATTATGAAACCAATATTCGACCCTTTAATTATTATATTGTTTTTATTATAAAATAACAGAAAACAAAGGTTTTAAATTATGAGTACTAATTTTTTAAGATTCCTACAATATTTAACTTCTAATAGAGTTGGGACGCTGAGGCCACAATAAAGTTGTTCTTCCAAAATGAACTTCTAATAATAGTGGAATATCTAATACGTAACTAATGACATACTTTATTCACCATACTTATCTAAAACAATGGTATGAAAAATACATCACTTTGGGTATTTCCTGATGAATAAAATACATTGTAAATGTAATCAATACACCTGTGAAACAGATTATTCATTTCTTGATCAGGAAAATCTGAAAATAGTTGGGTGTTTCTGTGCAATTTTTTTCTAATACTAATAAAATTTTTATAACCACATAAAACTATCATCCTTTTTCATTTCATCATATATCATAAAATTCTATTAGGAAAAACAAAATTAATAATCATCAAATAATCGATAAGCGCGGCACCTAAGTTTCAAGCATCTATTGCAATTGTCAGAATTGAGACCTGTTAGCATTACAGTGATGAAAATGATGAAAATGATGAAAATACCACAAGGAATGGATTTAAATGAGTCACATTTGTTGACTTTTCTAATACTAATAAAATTTTTATAACCACATAAAACTATCATCCTTTTTCATTTCATCATATATCATAAAATTCTATTAAGAAAAACAAAATTAATAATCATCAAATAATCGATAAGCGCGGCACCTAAGTTTCAAGCATCTATTGCAATTGTCAGAATTGAGACCTGTTAGCATTACAGTGATGAAAATGATGAAAATACCACAAAGAATGGATTTAAATGAGTCACATTTGTTGACACACAATATAAAGAAATGTATTTTAATAAGTTGATCTTTGTATCCATAGTGTACAATTTAATTTAAACAAAATACAAGTATGTACTGAATTGAAAGGAATTATAAAATGAAATGAAAAGCAATGACAATGTCATAAAGCAGAGGAATTAGGTAGTTATTTATGTACTCGCATCAAAATATTGATATTAATACGAATCTTCCCAGGATTTCTAAGACAATATTCGATTCATTCAATGTAAAACTAAGATTTGAAGTTTTGACTTCTGACGAGAATTGAAGTATATAACCATTAGCTTTTCAATATTTTCTGGCTACAATGAATTCCTCCGAACGTCTAAAATCTAATTGTACATTGAAAAAGATCGCTCTACGCCAACTGAGGTAAGGTTAGCAAAACTCTAATGCGTTATAATTTTGCAATTTCGTAAATCTGATGTCGTTCATGTAAATTTAGCAACGTCGTGCGTGCAGTGGTTGTTAAAGTAAATATAAAATGTAATTGTGTAAAAGTAAATAATTTTTTTATTTAGTAAATCATGGGATTTTTCGCTCTTTAAAATTAATCTCGGGATTCGAGGCATATTCAATTTATTCTTTCACTGTATAAAATCAGCGTAAGTACATAAATAACTATACAACATAATTCCGACCTCTACTCATAAGAGTTAATATATACAATTAATTTAGCTGTTAATTTGAATTTCACATTTTTCTTATTGAATCTTAATTATTTACCCGAACCAAAATAACTAGTGATGTATTATTTTCGCGATATAAACGCCTTATAAAAAGTTAATGTATAATGTATGGAATATGAAAGATATGGGCGATAACTTTTCTGGTTATAACACTTTCACTTACCGCCCTTTATTCTATACATTGAATTCCAATTTTCAAACTATTAGTCCAATTCACCTAACCTAACACAATTTTGTGTAAAACAATCACAAGGCCAAGATCACTATTTAGATGCAAACAATACTCGTGTCTCACAATCACATATACAAACCAAAAGCATACTTTGTGAAAGATACATCTGCGGTTAGTAAAGTAAGCGTTAATTAATTAAACGAATACGAAACGATGAAACACTAATTATTGAAATTCTTTTGTACTTAAAGGCAACCTTGTCTTTCGAAATAATCCGAAATAATAATGCAACTTTGAGTACGTACCAATAACAAACTAACCAAATAACCACAAAACTTATGTTTTTACACACATTTTAATTTATTTATGAGACACTACAGAATTTGCATTTTACTAATCTATCAACAAAAACTTTCGTTTTTAGCAATCACCAAATAATTCCTGACCGTGACAGTTAACAGCTTTGACTTTAGTTTTAGCCACCATGTCACCAATAGACAGTGTTACCAGATAATTTTTTCACAACCATGCCAACCACAATGTACAATGTACCAGCCTTACGAGTATTAATTTTATGCAAGCTGTGCTTATTTATACTCTAAGGTGCAGCTATCTTACAAGAAAACCACTAAATTTCTGCAGCATATTAGGTAAAATAAAACAATATATTATTTTATATAGGGCTTTTGTTTGAGGGCTAGAGACCTGTGTTGGTAAAAAATCCGTAATCGACCGTTTGTAATTGTATTTTTAAGATTAATAATAATAAATGGTACTAATTTCATGAAGAATTACTTAGATATGAAAGGTAACGCCATCTTTTTGTAAATTTGACGTAGCAGATCTCTTTTGCAGCAAATAACTGAACAATTCGGCATTTTTTAGGACGTCGATACAGTCACGCAACCAAATTTAGTTTAGTACTCTAGTAAACAGTTCGATTGCAACTAGTTTTATTGTACGCATAGGACCACGTGGACTTATACCTTGACAGAGGGGAACGCCTGCGTATGACTACTACCCTCCGTACAGCCGCACCGGTGGCCTGTGTTGCTCATTGCTCTATGGTCGTGTCGGATCGCCATCCAATCCGACTTTGAGAGTGAAGGATTAGATAGTGCACTCGTATTTGCGCATATTCCGTTAAGACAGGTCACCGTGATCGAAATTAGATCTGGATGATATTAAATCGTGTCCATTAGTAAATTAATTATTTATTAGCGCAAGTGGAATACTGTTCTCATCTTTGGGCCGGGGCACCCCAGTGTCAGCTCCTCAACTCTTGACCGCATCCAGCGCAGAGTGGTTCGAATCGTCGACGACCGAGTTCTTTCTGATCGGCTCGATTCACTGGCGCTGCGTAGGGATTTTGCATCCCTTTCCGTTTTCTATCGCATCTACCACGGGGAGTGTTCTGAGGAATTGTTCGAATTAGTTCCAGCCGCCAAATATCACGAACGCACATTACGTCAAAATTCACGATCTCAACATCTGCGTGTGCGTTTTACTAGGAGTTTTCAACCTCGTACAAATTCTCTCCGAAATTGTTTACCACCGGCGATTTTTCCGGACCGCTACGACTTAGGAACCTTCAAGAAAACAGCTTACTCCTTTCTAAAAGGCTGGCAACGCACCTGCAATTCACCTGGTGTTGTGGTTGTTCATGAGCGGCAGTAGTCATTTACCATCAGGTGAAACGCACGCTCGTTTGGCCCCTCCTTCTTTAAAAAAAAGCGAAACGAGCGAGAGGAGGTTCTAAATTCGAATGTTTTTTATTTTTTTGTATAAAAGTTACGCGATATCTTTGTCAATTGTTAATAGAAAAATGGTTCTCTTTTATTAAAAAGGTTATATATAAATAATTAAACTCTTTTAGTCATATTAGTGGTTTGGAGTTAAAAAAATTCTAAAGAATATAAGTTGCATGTTGTCTATTGACCAAACCATAAGGATCGTCTACGAATACTAATTTCCTAAGGAATAAACAAAAGTCTGTAGTAGAAACACAACAAATTAATCGCAGCAACTACTTCCATAAGTAGTGGACCGCCCAGCATCCATTTGGTGTGAATGATATCGTGTATTTTGTTGGGATGGGCGTTTTTGGGGCGTGAAATTTGGTGGCTAGAATTAATAAGAACAAATCCTCAGAAAACTCTCCCCGTGGTAGAGGCGATAGAAAATGCAAAGGGATGTTGCATCCCTTTGCATTTTCGCCTGTAGATCAAGTCGATCAGAAAAAACTCGCTCGTTGGCAATGCGGGTCGCTCTGCGCTGGATGCGGATGGTTAACAGTGAAGAGAATAGTGAGGCCGAATTTGCACCTCACAAAGTTGCAAGTGGTGTAGCGGCATGATATACTGTCCCGCTCTGCTGAGCAAACCAAGCTTTTTAGAAGACTATTTAGCCCTCTCTTCCAAGTGATTACGAAACTGCACATAATTCAATATGTCGACGCTGAGGATTCCGATACGAGCTGAGGCAACAAAGGGAACAACTTCCGATGGTTACATTAGACTAGATTTAGTCCTCCCCAATCCGACACATTGTTTAACAACTACTCAACTTCAGACACAAGTTTTTTCCGGAATCGAGAAATATTGGCACGGCTGTGCCATTGCATTCATTGCTATGTGTGCTGTCGTACACATAGCAATGAATGCAATGATATGTTATAAATCAGTAGATTTGCAACATATCAATGATATACCGAAGGAACAGTGTAGGTGATAGCACGCAGTCTTGTGGAACGCCAGCATTGATTGGCTTGTAATCGGAGCTTCTACAACCTTGATGCTCCGGTCAGCGAGGAAACTGGTGACCCAATTGCACAGTTTCTCGGGAAGCCCATAGGAAGGAAGCTTCAAAAGAAGCGCTTTGTGCCAAACTCGATCAAAGGCCCTCGCTATGCCCAAACTAACGGCCAATCCTTGGACTCTTGGAAGATCACCAGCTGATCGACCACGACGAAAACCGTATTGGCGCTCACTAATCAGCTGGTGATCTTCATGGTACGTCAAGAGCTGGCAGTTTATAAAAGATTCCATTATTTTTGAGAACAAAGAGGTGATGGCAATACGCAGGTATTTGAACGGGTCTCAGCGGTCGCCGTTTTTAGGGATCAGGTGTACCAAAGCTGTTTTCCATGAATTCGGCACTAAGTCCTAGGAGTAGGAGTACCGGAATAGACGCGTTAAAGTCGGTGCCAACTTAGGCACAATGGGAGCACACGTCTTCAGCACAATGGGAGGGACTGCATCAGATCCACTCGACTTGTTGACGTCCAGGGAGAGGAGTGCGAACCGAGCTATGTGTAAACCGCACGTTCGGAATAGAGCATTCACACCGCGGCATGGTCGGCGGTGTGTTCCCCCGTCATCGAGAGTCGAGGTCAAGAGAGAGCCTAACAGATCGGCTTTCTCCTTTGTGGTATGGGCCAATGAGTCGTTCTCTCTGTAGACATGGAAGAAATGGCTGACAGAAATTTGTTGTTGTCTTATTGTTGTCTATTTTCTGACGTAAAATTTAAAATTGACAACATTAAACAATAGATAGAACAATAGAAAACATATTATATATATTGTTACAGACGGCGATGTAAGCAACCGCCCGTCCCCCCGCACACTTTACGCTGGAAAGCAAAGCAACGAGTTGCGCAACCAATCACAGCGCGGTCCCACCGCGAGTGCTTATGCAAACTTAGTGCCCACGAGACCCCGGCGGCGGGAATAAAACTAGGGCACCCGGCCGGCATTCCGCATTCGCGGCAGATCAGCGCTCCAGGAAACAAGAAGAAAAGAAGACCCCTTAAGCTCCGTATTAGGCATTAGATTAGGCAATGAAATAGTGATAGATTATAATTAAATAGTGCCGCATTTTGTTTATAGTTTATTAATTAATGTAAGTTTATCGTACCATCTTTAATTAATACAGTCCCTAGCAATAATAAATAGCAATAGTTTCTTCTAGTTAAATAGTCAGATCACAGTTTTATTTTCAGTTTCTTCACATAGTAATACATAAACAAATAGTTAAATACAGTCCGATTAGCTCTCTATCCACTACAATTCTTTGGTTATTCGTTGCCGGATTAAAGACCCATCGTCACCGCCGTCGGTTAATATCATTTATTATCAATAAGAAATAAGATAGAAGAGATAAAATCTTTCTCTGTTTCTCATTGCTATCGTCAATTTCTAAACGTAGTCAGACGTTTTAACGTCTAACCATCCTGTTTCTTACCGCGTTTACGCAGCCAGTCAGATTAACGGTGCCAAATGGTGTTCGTCTGGTGCGTCTTTTTGAAGAAGATCGGAAGCCGCAACGTGGGACACCATGCGTAAAATGAGAAGCAGTCAGATAGTTAGGAACAACGACGAAACGCCAGTTGGAGTTCGCGTCTGCGAGGCAGCCCCCGCATCTCCACTAGATTATCTTTCGACATCCGCACCCTCCGTCGAATCCTCGTTGACGCTAGCACCTATGCCCGCGCCCGTGCCCGCACCCTGCCATGTCCGTGTCGACAACCGAACGATTGTTAGATATTGTTACGAGCTTGAGGTTCGTGACAATAAAAATTGCCGATAGAATTACCAATTATATAACATTTCTATTTATTTTAACAAAACTTCGTTATGGATTAAAAAAATGGTTTATGAGAACTTAGATATGATTATTTACTATGCCTTAAAAATAATCCCATGAATTTATTCGTAAAAACATTGTGTTAGAGCCCACTTTGCAATTTTTTTCTATCGAGAAAATTACATGATATCGTGTTTTCCTTTTATGCAATCCAAGGTTCTATAGTCAAAAATCATATACCAAAATTTTGGTTTCTTATCTATAAAACTTAAAAAAATATGTTAAATAGAAAAACCACCAAATTTTCGAGATTTTAATGCCGCTGTGTTTTGTATGGTGAGTGAGAACCGGAGACCCTTTTTACTAGAAACGAGGCATTCCATCTTAGTCCTAACGGGCAGCATTTTGATTCATAATCGAGGATAGATGTGTATATATATATATTATATATATATATATATATATATATATATATATATATATATATATATATATATATATATATATATATATATATTACGTATTGTAATTAATTGTTGACTATTTAGCACTGTATTGGTGTTTTAATTAGTATCTCGCTTCTCTGTTTCTGTCTGTCTGTTAGCGGCTAGTTGGTGGTGGCCAAGAACATGTTTAATGTTGAAAATCTAAGGCACCATAACCCTATTACTTGCAACCGACTCTCTCCGTCCATATCTCCATATCAAATGAGGTAATACATAGGCTGCACA